TCTATCGTTATTTGCAGTTAGTGTAAACAGCATATTGATAATAAAATATTTACGCTTAGTGTAAAGTAAATAGAATTAATTTCTATTTGCACTTAAATAAACAGCATCTATCGCTAAGAAAATGTTATTTTCACTTAGTGTAAATAGCATCTATCACAAATAGCCGCTGCCAAATTATTATTGTTATCAGTGGCGGCTCGTGGGTTTTAAAATAGAGGCACACTAATTGTATTGGTCTGGGGATCCCTGCCGATTATTATTATTTGCTTAACCACTTTAAAATGGCTTTTTGGTTGCTTTTAGTCAGAAAATGTAAAGAATACGACACGCATACAGCAAGATAATATAATTTCACTTACCTGGCCTATCACTTGAAGCAAACATCCATCCCTTCTTACACTGCAAAAAATGCTTTTCTAGCTTAGATTTTTTTTGTCTTGTTTCCAGCCAAAATATAAAAAAAAAAAAGTCTTGTTTTCAGAAAAAACATGTCAAAATGAAACAAGCAAAATAATCTGCCAATGGGGTATGCTAAATAATCTTGTTTTCTGTTTGAAATAAAATTATTTTGCTTACCCCATTAGCAGATTATTTTGCTTGTCTCAAGCAAAAACTCACTTAAATTCGACATAAACATCTCACTTAAACATCTAGCTTAGCTCCTAAACTCAAACTTAAACTCAGTCTCTTAACACCAACATGACTTCACTTATTATCATTAAGACACTTAATATACTGACATTGCCACTCGCACACAGCAATTTCTGTAATATTTTATTTATTTACTTTTTTACCTCTATTGCTGCTATGTAACTACCCTGTACAACCTGTTTGCACATTCTTCTCTTGTATATTCCTGCTCATCTTAATATTTATTAAGTCTACAGTATACTGTCCTGTGTATTTTATTTTATTCTTTTTTTTATCTTACTTTTTCCATATCTATATTTATATATAATTTTCTTGTGTTTGTATTCTTTAAAAATTGCACTGTCCATGGAGCGGACCTGACTTACATTTCACTGCTGGTCATATATTCTCTATATAACCATGTATGTGACAAATAAAAATCTTGAATCTTGAATGTTATGGGATTACAGCTGTGAAATTACAAACAAAAAATACACATTCTGAGACATGAATTGAAATGAATTGTGAATTTTACTAACATTAAATCGTTGTCCTCCCATTTTCACCTCAGAATTTTGGGGAAGCTGTGCCTCCCCTGACGAGTCGCCAATGATTGTTATTATTATTATACTTTTTTTTTTTTTTTTTTTACACTTCAGAGAATGACACCATATATAACCAATAAAAAGCACACTGAAGTTTTTTTTTAATCTAAACAGAATGATATAATTAGTCAAGCACAAGTATGAAAAGCACGTAACAGCCTGCCACTGTCTTCAAATAACCCAGCGCTGAATCGAGTGGGCTGAATCGATTGTGACCCGATGGGAATTCTGATCACCGTATGAGGCAGAAATGTATTATACGCGATGCTTAAGGCTACATATAATCGCTATAATAAGAACACGTTATGATTATGAAAATACCAGAGACCGCTTGAAGAAATAAGACAAATCATATATGGTTATAATCATGTATTTATTTGGTTTAATATTGCTGCCTCCTCCATGTCTCTTTGTTTATACCGGACTTCTGCATCCGCATGTCATAAATTTCATATACTCTGTGTAATTCATATAACTCGTATAACAGTACAGTGAGATGGGATAGCAAGCAGTCAAACCTCCTCAGATTACATGCATCGTGGAAAATTAATATTAATGCTCATTCTTTCTAAAGAAATTTGACAGAAACACACAAGGGTTTGTCAGTATTTTTCTGTAGTGTTATATGAGTTGTTTTGTGCATTCCTGTCGTCACAAATAAACTGAGCAGCTGCGACTGGACAAGTAGGCATATGTGTGTTCTCTTTTAATGTGAAATTATGATAAATAGTTTGATTTAGCATGCTTTAGCATAATTTTTTAGCGTAAATCATATAAAATATCTATGCTGAAGTCTTAAGTCTTTATGTAAGGAACAAACTTTAAGTTTGTTTTACGATTTAGTTTTCATTCATTTTCCCCTCGCTAGTGAAATGCTGGGGTTGTGTGACGTTTGCTTCAGAGAGGCGGGTTAAGGGAGGGTTTTACAGTAGCGCTGGCCCGACAGTGGAAACGCGGCTTGATTTTGGGCTCGCGGCTTGAGGTGCGAGTCTATTGGCCCAGCACGGCTCGGTGTTAGCCCTGGCACACACTGGCCCGACAATGGAAAAGCGGCTAATGGGAGCCAATGGGTTGAAGGTCCAAATTGCAGTTTCAATGCAGCTTCAAAGGGCTCTACACAATCCCAGCCGAGGAATAAGAGTCTTATCTAGTGAAACAATTGTTCATTTTCTTAAAAAAAAACAAAACAAATGTATATACTTTTTAACCACAAACGCTCGTCCTGCACTAGTTCAACTTGACCCATTACGTAGTCACGTTGGAAAGGTCATTCGTGAAGAAGGCGGAAGTACTGTTCCAGTGTTTGCAAAGACCGTCAAATGCCCTTTACAAAAAAAAAAGGTATAATGTAGAGTTTTTCGCCCTACCCTACCTTTTTGAACCGGAGTACACGAAGTCGAAGAGCTAACCAAGCGTGACCTTTCCAACGTGATTACATCATGCGTCAAGTCGCAGAGGCGCATCGCGGGCTTGTGCAAGACGAGCATTTGTGGTTAAAAAGTATATAAATTGTAATTGTTTTTTGAAAATGACAGATTGTTTCGCTAGATAAGACCCTTATCGGCTGTGATCGTGTAGAGCCCTTTGAAGCTGCACTGAAACTGCAATTTGACCTTCAACCCGTCGTCACAATTTAAGTCCAGAAAGACGTGAAGACCTTTGATGACATGGGGGGGTGAGTAAATTATCAGGAAATTTTTATTCTGGAAGTGAACTAATCCTTTAAAGTCGGCATGAAATCAAAATTGACAATTCTGATTTTTTTGATGGAATACAGTAGTGTTTATTATAAATCATTTATCCGTGCACTTCATATCTGGAACTGCCAACAGCTGCAGTGACATCAGTGACGTTTGGGGGTGAAAGCTGAAGCTGATGCTTCACTTTATAGCACTGACACCAGTCATGAGGGAGTACGTTACCCTTAAACATTGAAAAGATATTAGGATATTACGACAACATTACTCTTAGGACATCGCAAACTCATTTTTTTTTCATGAATATGACTTAACCTGATGGAGGACGTGCTCAGTCTCTCTCACTCTCTTTCTCGCATGTTTTGTGCCGTTGATCGTCGTTGTCATCCTTAATAAATAAAACATTTATTCATGCTTGGGTGTCGGCAGTGAATCCAGTTGAGAGAAAACCCCCACCACTAACTGCAAACTGGCATCTTAGAGCTGCCTCCATTTTGTTAGCAACACCCCAACTTCCAACGATCCAATTGATTCCTGAAGGCCGAAATCAAGTCCCGCCCTCTCATTTCAGACGTTAAGCCATTCTGCAAGGCAGCTCCAGACACACATAAGTTGTGTCCCAAATGACGCACTGTACACTATGCACTTATACACTATGTAATCTACCATGTAGTGTATGAATTATGTAAGTTTATTTTGTCATTCATAATTGGAGTCTGATACCTCCTCCACCTCCACTACATAATTAAAGCTGGGACAGTTGAGTGCACGAAGTGTCCAACATTTCACACTTTGTTTTTTTCTTTATTTTTGGTTTGGTTATGTACTGTATTGACCCGAATATAAGATGATGTTTTTTTCTTGGTTGTTGGTACATTTGACCAGTTTTTACCATACGTTCAAAACAAAAATTAAAATAGGAAAAATATGCAATATGAAAATAATTGAAGACAAAATGTGTTTTACTGAGAAAAAACAAGATTTGGTTTTTAAAAAGCCTTTTTCCAAAAGGTACATCTGGAAAAAGGGGGGTCGTCTTATAATCAGGGTCGTCTTATATTCGGGCCAATACGGTAAGTGCACTTGTTCTTTTTTAAATTCTCAGTGTGAACACATTACTAGCATTATTTATACTACAAAACAGCATAGAATAGTGTTTAAATATGCGAACTGGTATGCACCTATAGATAGTGAACATGCAGTTCTTATGGAGAACAGTACATTCATCTTAGCAGTATTTCTGCTTGTTTTGGGGGCTGTATTGTCCTGTCCAGTTTACTGTCTTCTCGTGATGTTTATTGATGTAGATCAAAATTTACAAAAATGATTTATTAATTTATTACTTTCATTTTATTTGTATTATTATCCCTTTTTAAAAAAAAAATACTTTCACTTAATAATCTGCCAAGTGTCTTTTTTTCAAAAGTATTCTGTATCATGCGTTCAGGGATTACGATAATTTAAGTGTTTTTTTTTTCTTTTCTCCCACATCAGAGGCTTGAAAGCTAAAGGGATAAAGCATAAAATACATATGAGGGGGAGAGGGGGGGGGTTGACATTTTTTTGCTTCTGCTTTTATTTATTTTCTACTGATTCTTTAAAGACTATTATTCTCAGATATTGTATACTTTTTCCCGTATCTTAGATTCAATACAACTTTATATATACACTTAATATTAGAAAAATACACTAACTTTTCGATATTGATACTTGCATGGATTCTGCTTTAATTCATACACTCTTTTTACGTTTTTTTAAACTCTAAACCACATTTGTCACTGTTTGCATTTCAATCTAATTTATATCTGGTATAAATGTTTTCTGCACCCAAACATTACAGTTTTTGCAGGCAAAATCTCACACCGTTTTATTAGTAGATAATGCTTAATAATATAAACAATATTTATTAATTTACCTAATATTTTGAAATCATTGAACATGTATTTAAATATTTCACCAACAATTCAATTGTTTTTGTATGCATTTCTATGCGATTCTTAAATGCAATTTCCATGTACACTTGTGATTTTATTCAACACGACACTGAACAGGACTTTTATTTTGGTCTTGAGATTTGACGTCATAGGGCTGCGCCACGCTCCTCCATCTGTTGTGATTCGGCTGTGGAAAGGTAAGCGTTTTAAGCTTTTAAAGTGTTGCGTTAATACAAACCGTTCAGGCAATTGTATAGTCTTTACAAGCTATGTAAAATAGAGTGATTATTACTGAATATAACACTGTAATCATTTATCATAATATTAATGAACGTTGTTTTTATGAGTAGAAACAGAAAATGTGCGTATAATTTCGCTCTCTATCATGAATCAGTTTACCGTAAACACGAATTCGCTCACTGGCAAGTAGTGATGGAGAAACGGAGCTTTTCAAAACTCCGAGTTGATTGAATCAATTACCGTACTGGCCCGAATATAAGACGACCCTGATTATAAGACGACCCCCCTTTTTCCAGATGTACCTTTTGGAAGAAGGCTTTTTAAAAAACAAATCTTGTTTTTTCTCAGTAAAACACATTTTGTCTTCAATTATTTTCATATTGTTTTGAAAGTATGGTAAAAAAACGGGTAAAATGTACCAACAATCACATTTAAAAAATATACACTTTTTGATATACCATAAAAAAAACAAAAACAAACAGGTAGCCCATCTGAATTAGGACATTTAGGCTGTCCATCTAATAGTAGGTTGCTGAAGCCACGCCCACCTAGCTCGACGCCAGTGTCAGCAGCGGCAATCCACCTGTCACTCAAGTGGCCACGCCCTTAATTATGCAGAACTTTAAGGCTTAATATAATTTAAACGGATGAGTTATTAAAAAATTCACCCCCCTCACAGTTGTCATGAAGGGCAAACTTGGCTATATAGACCAAAATATATATTTTTAACCAGGCTGTAAACATGTTTTTTTCTGCTGTAAAGTTGGGCATTTTAACATGGGGAGTCTATGGGATTAACTCCCTTTTGCAGCCAGCCTCTAGCGGCCAGTTGATGAATTACAGTTTAAGTCACTTCCTTGTTGGCTTCACAGAGAGAGAGCGGGAGGTTGGCGCTTGATTACATTACGTATTTCATGGCACACTTGTTTTATGCGTATTTGGCGCCACCTATTGTTGTGGGTGTATTATTGACATGTCAAAGTCTAGACCCTGAATATAAGACGACCGCGTTTTTTCAGATGTATTTCCAAGAAAAAAACATCGTCTTATATTCGGGTCAATACGGTACTTCTCAAAATGATTAATTGTTTCGAAGCGCTCGAATCAGCGCACACTGACGACGCCTGCTGCTCAAAACAGTGTAAATGCAGCGAGAACAACAAACGTGTAATGACAACTTTTACATTGTAAATGCTTTAATGTGTACAGTGTTATCCCTTACGAAAATTAACCATGGTTTTATTAAAGTAAAAATGAAGCAACTATGTTTTGTTTTATTTATTTTTTGCCTATTACCAGTTATATAACCACAGTTTTATTACAAATACCATGGTTAGTGTAGAAAAGCCATGGTTAATTTGAAGTTAGTTACCATGATTTAAATATAGTAACCATGTTTTTTTCCCCCATTTGTAGTAAAACCATGATTGAAAGTGTAATATTTAATAACATTTTGTAGATTGCATGTAATACCAAACATAAATCAAAACAAAAAAGAGACCGTATAATTTGCATTGTTATTTATTTGTATTGTTGTGTTTTTATTTTTATTTTTATAATTGTCATTTAAGGACATTAAAGGTGCCATAGAATGCATTGATACAATATTTTAAATTGTTCTCTGATATCTACATAGAAGGTATGTGGCTTAGGTAAGGGCAAAAAATCTCTAGAAACGGTTTTACATGTCCATTTACCATTCGGATTTGTCCCTAGAATGAAATGGTCTGTGTAACACAGTTCTTAGATCGAGAAGGAGGCGGGAACCGGTGAACATTTAAACACTTTAATAAAATAAACCAACACAAAATGAAAGTAAAGCGGCAGCCCCTCGCGGACAACTGCCGCACACAAAAATAAATCCAGGCCTGGTCCTCATTCGTTTTTCACTGTCGTCACTCCTCCTTTTATCGTTCCGGAGCTCCTCCGTGGGACTTGAGTGAGTGGCGCAGGTGTCGTGCATTATCACTTACTCCACCGGCCTCGCTCCGTTCCCACGGCTCTCGGCCCCGCCCCACTCATCACAGTCTGTTTTTACCTTATTTGGAAGGGTCATGAATAATAATGTTGAGCTCTGCTCTGATTGGCTGTTTCACAGTGCGGATCATTTCAGTAGCTCACACAGCAGGAAGGAAACGCGGAAAATATATATTTCAATACTTTCTCTCGCAGTTATATCGTTGGGTAATTATACTGTGTATTATACTGTATATAAAATGCGGGCATTAGGGAGCCGCTATTAATATACGGGGCATTGAAACTGCTTTCGAATGCACGATCGCTTTTTACTTTCTTTTTCGAGATTTGCGATCACACGTGATCAGTGTAAACTACAGCGGCAGTGCTTACCACACATTTTACAAGATCAGATGCTTGTCAGTGGTGCTCAGGATCTGTAAATCATTCGCCATCATCTCTCCTTACTCTGTTTATGTGGTAAGTGAAATCTTATGTACTGTAATGTAACAGGCTACCGCTAGCAAGCAGCTAACCATGTCCCTTTAGTGGCTTGCGTTATTTTATTAGAACGTGTAATTTGTTTTCCTTTCTGAATACAGACACCAACCCATCCCTGCACATCACATCCCCTGCACAGCCTGGAACATAACATTTATTTCCATGAGCTGCTATTTTCGCTATTATCCTCGCTTGTTTCTTCACAATACCTGCAGAACTTCTGATGATTCGGCTGTGCAGGTTCGGCTGGCATAGAACATGGGCGGGTATATGCAAATGTTGGGGGCGTAACTATTAGTGATCCCGACTGTAACGTCACAGTCGGTGTTATGTTCTGATTCGCCTATTTTTCAGTGGTCTTTTGCATGCACGAGATTTACATAAGAAGGAGGAAACAATGATGTTTGAGGCTCATGGTATGTAATTTCCATATACAGAACTGTTATTATTCAACTATGCCAAGGTAAATACAGTTTTCCATTCTATGGCACCTTTAACGCCGACTGACTCATTACCAGTGCATTGACTTCTGAACCAGGAAGCTGATTGAGATGCACTCAAGAGATTTAGCCTAGTTTTCTTTATATTAATTATTCTTATCTTAAACATGACAAATGATCCAAACACACAGAAAAACTCCTGGTGAAGCAGCAGAGATCCACGTGACACTATTATAAAGATGGCGTTTATTAAGGAGGAGAGTGAAGACATTAAGATTGAAGAAGTATTCAGCTTGAAACAAGAAGATACTGAGGAACAAACAGGTTAGTTTTCATTATCAAAGCTGAACTCACCCATTTGATCCTTTTTAAAATGTCCAGCTCTACAGAAAGAAATTATATTTTTGAAGAATGTCATATGAGTGTCCTGATTAAAAAGGTTTTATTTGTCATGGAGTGGGACACCTCGTGGACAGACATGTTGAGGTCACATGACCAGACAAATACAAATACTGCCTTCAAGAGCAGCTTAGAAGATCCTACTTCGATGTTAGGCATTCATTATTATGAGATGTCTCGCATTAAAATAGTAAAAATAGTATAGAAGTAGTCTAAACAACAGTTATTTTGTGTAACGTTAAAGTGCCCCTGTTATGCCTTTTCAAATATTACCTTTCATGTAGTGCGTCATGTAGCTGTATGTGAACATAAACTATCTGCAAAGTTGTGAAGCCGACAGTGCATGATAAATAAAGTTATCGTCTTTCCAAAAAAATGAGTCTGCTTGCAATCGCCTAAACGAGTCGTCAGGAATTCGAATCTTATTCTGTTATGGCTCTACGCCACGAAGTAACACATTTGCATAATGTCCGCCCACGTTCTACGTCGCCAAATTGCCCGCCCACAAACAGTAAAATTTCCGTGTGATTAACATCATGTCGAGAAGACGCTGTGTCCTACGCTGTGAGAGTAAATTTGTTTTATCACATCTTATAATTACCACAAACTTGTTAACACTTGACACTTACCACTGAGAAACGTCCTGCTCCAGTCGTGCTTGCGAATCAATCTCTTGTCTATTAGCCAGTTCAGCCGTTTCATCATCAGACTCCGGCTCGAATTGGTATGGTACAATCAGTACCATCTTTTCTATGTATCTTTTCTAAATCTCCGGGGCTGTCATTCCGTCATGGCAATGGGCGTTTCATTTCCGACACGCGCTGTACGTGGTAGACCAATCACAAAGGACTGCGCCATCTGACCAATCACAGCAGGGAGGGCTCACGGAAATGAGGGGTTTAGAGACTGATTCTTTGAACTGCTTCGCACGTGTCGTTTACGAATCATTTAGAAATGAGGTCAAATTAAATCTATTTTTTGAGAAAACTAATGTGTTTTTTGACCTTGCATGCATGCAAACCTGTTTTAGGAGACTCATAAAACAATATTAGCAACCTTAAAAAAGCATAATATGGGTACTTTAATGTTTTAACATACTCGCTAAGAAAAATGCAATGGAAAAAAAATTCTTTGCATTTTATATTTTCTTGGGGCGATAATAAGAAGATTGTTTTTATTATTACCCCCAAAAAATAAAAGCTGCAATGTCAAACTTGTATGAGTTACTTTCTTCTGGGGAACATAAAAGCAGATATTTTCAAGAATGTTGGTAACCAAACAGTTTTGGTTCTCAGTGACTTGCATAGTATGGACAAAAAATACTATGGGATTTAATGGGAACCAAAATGGTTTGGTTACCCACAAGTCAAGGATGTATGTGAATAGGGAAATTACAATCGCCTTGACTTGGCTGGGGTCTTGTACATGTGTACAGAAAGATCAATGCCACCCATATGCCGATTGTATTGAGGAATGAGTGATGGGCATGGGATGGCAATCTTTACATGGTCCTCTTTGTACCCAGGGCTCTAGACTGCGACCATTTTTTGAGAATGTGCTAGTTAAAATTTGACATGGCCGCATTTATGTGAGTGCATTATCACACACCCAATCTGTGTCTGCTTACCTGCACTTGCATTATCAGTCACGTACATACGCATGGCGCACTGATGATGAAACGCGCAAATTAGGAATTCAGGAAATGTAGGAATTAAGTCATCTAAAAATGAAAAGGTCGATAGCGGATTACTTTAAAAAACAAAGTGTGGAGGGCGAGGATGCTGGTGGAAAGGACGAGCCAACAAGCCAGCATACAGACTCCGACACAACTGATGATGATAGCACAGGTGCAGACGGAGGATCCAAATGAGCAAAGGAAAAAGAAAAGGCGCTTTTGCTTTTGATTTTGTGATCTTGGTGTCACGTTTTACAAGAAAAGTTGTCTCTTGCGCTTACGTCTACAGGGCTCCAGACTAACATTTGAGAGCAGTGGCACCAGCGCCACTAAGTTCTACAGATGGTGGCGACAGCAGCAGGTTTGGTAGTGCTGGGGGGTGGTGTGTGGGGGTAGACTATTTAAACTACTTGCTCACTGTCATAACTTGGGAGAAGCGATTAGTCAACAGAAGAGACGGGCGGCTGCGCGACTATTCGAATTATTTATTAATAATTGGGTTATTTTTATTGGTTATTTTTAACCGGCAAAATACCAGAAGTGGCGCATTTCACAGACAAGAATGCATAAAACACATTATTAGTCTGTTTTCCAAGGCTGCATAATATATTAAACTCATTTAAAAATCATAATTAAGCATAATTGTGAATTCACAAACGCTACGATTTAATTAAATAATTATATGCAATGCAGTTCTAATACAGTATCAGGGTGTCCGCGGGTCCTTAAAAAGTCCTAAAATGTCTTAAATAACGTTTTCCTAATATAAGGCCTTAAAAAGTCTTAAAATGTCTTAAATTCGGATTCGATGGGTCTTAATTATTTTTGGTCTCATTACCGCTAAAATATCTTCAGTCTGACGGACCTAATGACTTTACAATCATTGGACAGACCGAAGATTTTTTCTTCCCGCGGTAAGTTACTGCGTCATCAGAGAGAATTGCAGTAAGTTAGCAGAATACAGAATACAAGGTCGCGCTGAGGCTCACTCTGTTTGTCTCGAGACTTCAGAACAAATGAGCGTGACCGCACACATAAACTCAGAAGAAACACACTGAGGTAAAAATTCAAAATGTTTAGTTTATTCATAACATGATATAGTTAAATAACACCATGACAAGTGAGCTATTTTGCTCAATATTCTCACGACGCAAAAAAAACAAAAACATTCAAAACACCTACAGAGTGCATGCATTACGTAAAGTCTAGCGCTCTGCTTGATCACTGCATGATTCAGTCTATTAAAATTTGTTGAAAAGTATGCATTTTTCCCCTCAACATTTCTTATTTGTATATTCATAAGTGCATTTAAAACATTAATCTCATAACATTATTTATTGCAGTTGTAATTGTTGTTATTTGCAGTGTAAATTATTTAATCTGTCTGGTAGCAGCCCTATAGTGTATATTGAATTTATTGATAAATTGTGATAATTTGACATGTAAGATGATGCATACATCTAAAAAGGTTAAAAATAGGCCTTTGTAAAGGTAAATAT